ACTGTAAAATGGTTAATTATTCACTGGGTTTTAATTTTGCTTATTTCGCTTACTGAAAAATGCGTTAAAACCCAGTGAATATGTAAAATTTAGCATAGAACACATTATCTAAATGATAAAACTGTGAATACAAAACCCACTGAATATGCCTGAAATGGTAAATCAGCGAAATTTAAACCCAGTGAAAATTAGTCATTTTACAGTATCCATGACAATTCCCAAGTTCCAAGCTTCTCTTACAACTTAAATATGTGATGAGCCAATAGTAAAGGTAGTGAGAGGATCTAATTCTTTTGAAAAAACGCAACGAAAAATGGACAACCTTAGTCTTGACAGTGTTTTTTTTTTGTTTTTGAATGTATTTATAAACTTTTTTTGGAGTTTGTACATTACAAATTGCAATTAATCTATATATTGTGAAGTGAATTTCTCCTTTTTTTAATACGAGAAGTCAACCTATTCCACTGGACAGTACTCCAGGAAATATTTTACATATCTTTTGTATGCAATAAATTCTGGCTTTTGGATAATAAATATAACTTTTTGCTACCAGAAAGAGGAAGTTGACTGAACTTCCCGAGAAGGATTTGTTGTGCGTTTGGAAATGCCCTCAGGCCATCTTGACAGTGTTGAGTAGAAGCCTGTCAAAAACTGTCCAAGTCTTTACATTGTGCGAGGCTGGCAAGTGGACAGAATGTACTCTTTTTGGACTACTGAGTGCGCAGATGACCATGGGCATCAAAACTCACAATCTCCCTGATGGAGAAGTGTTGATTCATCTCAAAGTGGTTTTGTCCCAGCTGTTTCATCCTAGTTCCATTTCACCCCAACGCTGTTTAGTGTCAATGCTGTTTCGTTTCAACACTGTTTTCCTAATGCTGTTTCGTCCATGTTCATCAATTTTGATACATACCGGTACAGTGTATAGTTTGTTTTGGCTATATCAATTTGAAAGCATCGAAGGAAAGATACACTTTAGAAAATGTATTTTGGAAAATAGAAAATTCAGTTAACAAAGAGTATCGCATTACTGGATCTCACATAGCATATATACTCACTTGACGTCACAGTCATTTACTATAATTGTGTATTACTATAAGCATATACATCGATAAGACAATTTGTATACTGTAAAATGACTAATATTCACTGGGTTTAAATTTCACTGATTTACAATTTCAGGCATATTCAGTGGGTTTTAAATTCAAGGTTTTATCATTTAGATAATGTAATCTATGCTAAATTTTACACATTCACTGGGTTTTAGTTTAGCGAATTTTCCAGTCAGCGAAATAAGCAAAATTAAAACCCAGTGAATAATTAACCCTTTTACAGTATGCTATCTAAAATTCAATTGAACACCGAAATTGATTAGTAATATTTCAAATACACTTCATGAATTTTCGTATAGAGCATAACTATCGTGTAAATTCAAAGCTACTTAAAATATTGTGTTTAATTGGCTACCCAGCTCTAACATCTATTATTCAGACCAATCAGAGAGCACCTTGTTTGTTGACTGTTTATTTTTACGTATCAAATTCTGCCTTCTATATATGCTTCAACTCAAATGCTACTATCGCATAGGGCCAAATCTCTTTTTTAACATTGTTTCAGTATCTTGTGTTTTAATTTTTCATAAATATTTACTGGGATGAAATGGTGTTCGAGCAATTGGGACATCAACTTAGAACGAAACAGCACTGAACCGACATGCTAACAATTATGCCATTTGCAGTCATTTACACTGCTAGCTTCTCCAAACACACAACTTCACAAGAAATAGAAGTACACATAATGCTTGCCAGTGAATTAAAAGGGGATGCTACTACATTAAGTATTTTAATTTAGATATTAGATTAGAGTGAAAAGCCTTTAATGGATTCAAACATTTGTTATTTATAGTCAACAACATTTTTGGAAGGTAAACCAAGCATGACCACTTTTCATAATGATACCGGCTCATTGTCAAAATAAAGTTTACCCATTCACACGAGTCACAACAAACAATGTGTTCTTAAATGAACATCAATGACTACAAAAAACATAAATTTGAGATGCTAAGAAAAATTTTAATATTCAATAAGATAGATACACACAAATGTAGCTCCACTGTTAGCAATGCACGTTAACTGAAGATAACATTAGAAAATGAACAAATCTGAGAGAGGTCTAACTGAGATACCTATATGTATAGTATTCAAAGCAATCAGACTTGCAGTTTTTAACAATAAGCTGAAAATATCACTTTTTACCAAAAATGACAAAAATATTCATCAAAATTAGAGAATTGAAGATATCATTACGAAATGAACAAATCTAAGAGGTCTACTTGTAGTACCTATATATACAATATCAAAGCAATCGGACTTGCAGTTTTTAACAAGAAGTGGAAAATATTACTTTTTACCAAAAATATTCATCATATGGTAAGCTCCGCTCGACAAAGTCGACAGCGGAGCTTAAAAAGATATATAAAATTGCAAGACGTCTATAATATACTTACCTAGAACATACTTTGGTTCACAGAATTGAAATTTATCAAAATGTGTTGAGTTTTGTATAAACTCATGTAATCTATCATTGGCATACTCAATGACATCATGGTGAATTTCTACACCATGGTTAATTCCATTTGCTCCTGTAAATAACAAATACAAATGTGAATAACCTTAAACTAGAATTCCACACAGAAATTAAAATATTGTCATTTTCTATATTGTAAAATACTTCATTTTCGCTTGGAATTAATTTTCGCTATTTTTGCTGCAAGAGTGATTCAGTGAAAATAAAAATCCAGCGAATATACCTTTTTTCTTATATTTTAGATTCAACTCACTAAAAATCAGTGAAAATAAATTCCATACAAAACATCCAAAGTCTTTTCAGCGAAAATGAATTCCAGCTAAAATAAAGTATTTTCCAGTATTGGATCTTTCATGTCACAAGGAAAAAAAATATGTATAAAATGGAGTGTGTTTTTTTTTTACCATGGTTTTTTTATGGTACATATCAAGGAAATTTGTTTTCATTGTGGACTATGGAAAGCGCAGATAAAATTAAATTTTATGCATATTATTTTACAGTTTTCCCCCAAAAACAGATTGAGAATGGACTAAAAAAGTTCACTGACACATAATGTTGACTAATACTAAAACAAATAATTGTAGACAGATTTTGACACAAAATATTGCTATATACGCTAAAATATGCAAAATGAGTAGCATTCTACCTTGAAGAGAAATGCTTCACACCAAAATGATGCACCAATTCATTGAAAATATTCAAGCTTATTACTTATTAACATTTCCCCTACATACAATTACACATTTCAGTAGGTTGCCGTAAATATTATTGAGGCAGACAAAAAATTATGACAAATATTGCATGCCTTGATAAAATCATCACTCAAAAATGGAGATGATGAAAAGATTAAAAGCAATTGGAAGTTTTAGTTAACATTTTTGTAAATGAAATTGCATAATATTTCCTTTGATATTACTTGTCACTGTTACATGTATATAATTACCTTATACACTGTAAGCACCTATAAAAGATATATAGTTTATCCAAAATCCATTACACACATGAATCATTAACAAATTTTTCAATCAGTCATGAATCATGGGCATAAAAAACAAGTCACAGCACTTTAATCTGTACTATATGGAGATTGAGAAACAACATCCTGAATACACTACACCCATTTATGTACCTCAGGCCCCAACGCTAGTTATTGCATTATGTATGTGAATAAACAAAGACCTCAGTGATTACATTCATTATGCAATACCTACGGTACCTAAAATAAGCCATTGTACTTAAATAACCTGTACCACTGCCAGGATTGAGAAATGACATCCTGAGTGAACGATAACTATTAAGAATATACCTTTAGTCCCAAAAGTATTTCAACATGTACATGTGCGTGTATAAAAAATGACCTAGTGACCTCAGAGATTACATTTATTATGCTATACCTACCTAAAATAAGACCTGCCATTGTACTCAAATAACCTGTACCACTACCAAGATTAAGAAATGACATTCCAGGCTTCAACTGTAAAGATTCCATAACCTCAGAATAAATACATGGTGCTGAAAGATGTATATTCCCATGTTTCCAAGCTAGATCTTTATAAGCTGTGTCTTTGTGGCCATCTATATAGTAATCTGCCCTATCTACAGCTCTGAATACCTCTTCAACATCTCTGGTTTTGATGTACTCAGCTTCTTTCAAGTTGTCAATTAAATGATTGTTGTCTTCCCCGGCACTAACTGCTCCTCCCATGATGAGAGCAGTTTATTCTGAAACAAATAAAATTATTTTTAGTTTTCATTACAGAGCTGGGAAATAAAACGAATTGGTGAATACATATGCATATATATAGTTTGAATGTAAACCAAAGCCGGGGAAATAAGTTTTCTAGTAGATTTGTTTTTCAAAATTGTTGTGCCATCAAATTTGTTTTTTTTGATTTGATTGTAGATGAAAATTTAATTTTTCTTTCATTTTTTTCTTCTATTCAGTCAAAGGTATTATTTCATTATAATAACATACAGTGGACCTAGGAGTTATAAGTATGCATAGTTTTTTCACAATTGGTATGAAATCTATACACAAACCAATACTGAATTTTTTAAATTCAGAAATCCTGGTCATTTTTACCTGAAAAAGTTACCTACATGTATGCGCATGTTTTTGCACGTTCAACATGTAATGCAAGGCTCTTTGACATGTTATATGTAACAAATTAACACTTAATCATGTTACATTTACAACATGTCAGTCATTATGACAACAAACACTGTATTGCTTTAGTGGAATTTTACAAAATTTCCCTAGTAACATTATAATATCTGCATAATCACCTCATATTTTTATGACAAAATGAAAAATTAATAAAGAGAAATTATTCTATCATGTTCTGTTTGTAAAGCAGAAAAAAATTGTTTTTAATTTTGTACACTTTATTATATGGAAGGTCCAAACACAAAAATTGTATGCATTGTTTTTTTATCTCCATAATTTATTTGTACATGTACCGATAGGTACCAAATATCAAAGCCAAAGTTCAGCTCAATTGCAAGTACATATAATTTTTTTTTTAAATCCTAATCAAGTATGTGCAAAGAGAAGTAATACTGGACTGGGTTAATTGATTGACAAAAATAGATTTATTGCATCTGGGATGTTGTACAAAGCAGGTAGTAATTTTACCCATTCACCATTGTAAGTTATGCTATAGTACAAGCTGACAGATATGCAACCAATTTCCTTCCCATAGGTCTTTGTGTTTTGCACAATAGTACCTCTGCCACAGGGAGTCTTCCATTTTGTCATCAATCACCTCAGTATGCATGGTCATTTTTCAACAGTTGTTTTATTTAAAAACATACTGCAGAATGAAAAATTAGATTGTCTTTGCGCCTGACTATTTATTAATGTCCGACTTCCCTAGAAAAATAATACAAACAATTTTGGTGGGAACTACGATGTGTAAGGTATAGATAATACTAAAACTGAAGAAAAATAATGTTTTGTTTACAATTGAAAGAAACACTAGACACCAATTCCCTACTAAGAAATGTCCTAAATCTATGTTTGTTCTCTTGTTT